GTCATTTTACAGATAGTATGCATGATGTCACTGAAAATTTATCACTTTTGGGAAGGGTGTGTAACAGCCTTTTCCAACACAAAGTATTCATACAATCAATAGTTATCAACTTGGGGTACCAGAACCATCCAGAAAAAGACCTGCAACAAGTCATACCCTAGCTGTGGTAAGCAAAGTGCATGTCCTATAACAGATGAGAATCCACAAACACAAATGTTAATGGCAAAAAAAGCCATCCATGTGCCACAGGCAACAGTATGCAACACGTTCAAGCAGGATCTCTGCCTGGAAAAGTGATACAAGTCGTATGTACATAAGCTACTTCCACGGCATATCCATTCAACCATCACAGTTGGTGAATGAAATGGGTCTTCATGCAATTCCATACAAATACATTCTGGTAGAATCACTGGATACAGAACCTTTGGATTTCTGTGTGATTGGACAATCAAAATGGGTACTGGGCAACCAATGTCCTCATGCACAACATAGAATATAGAAAGCATGTAAGGAGGAATGATTTATTTTGGACATGACAGATTTATGCTGGAGCCTTCTGCAATGGAAACTATGCAGCAGAGCTATTGTCAAGGTGCACGTTCATCAGATTGAGCATGAACAGACGTGGTGACATGGACTCTAACAATGTGGTGAGACTCCAAAATCATTTTGATATAACATACTCCACCTCTGTACTAGTATGTTTACGGTGATGTTGATAATTGGGTAAGACTATAAATACATTTGCATTAAAGTACAGCTAAATATTACTGTCTGTTTCCTTTTTGTTTTTTCTTTAATAATGAGTTTGATTTGTTTTTAATAAACAGGAAAGATTTTAAATATTATTGGTACACAAGTGTCATGTAACCAAAACCTCATATTTTCTGATAGTTTTTGCCCTTAGGTTTCATTAGCTTGAGTGAACATACAAATAAGTAGATCAAGTGATTTTGAGTTGCATGTTGTTGAAAGATGATGTGCAAAGAAAAATGTAGAAAGCTAATGGATAAGTTACATTTTTCTTACTATATATTAATTTCATTTGCTTGTTGTAATACTATTTAACATTATATAGTCCTAATTCGTTATGAGATTTATTTAGCAAAAGTTGAATCACGTAAACTTCCTATTAGTGACAACAACTGAAATTAAAAACAAAACCTGAAACAGATTACCAAAAACTGGTTTCTCAAAGACAATGTTCATGTATAGGTTAAGACAGACAACAAACTCTAGCCAAAAAATATTTTTGGAGCACTTAAAAATGCAATGCAACAAAGCTTAAAGATAAACAGAAACTTATAGGAAAAAGTAGGAATATTAATTCATCTAAAACAATCTGCTTCACTCCATATGTTGTATAAATGTTCACTCCAGCTCAATCCCACACATGAGCAATTAACATAGCACAAACCAGTGTACAGTAGATAAAGTTACATCAATCAATTACATTATTCTCCAAGTTCATTTGTATGTTTACTTAAATGGTATAAGTGTTTCATGAAATAAAATTCATAATTATACAACTCAACTGATGTTCTAAAATGCTACAATATGTATAAATTTATCACACCTATGTAAAAAAGTTAATATTTTTAAGTGCTTTGTTTTTACCTTATTTTACTTTGCTGAGTGTTGAAATTAAGTATTTGTAGCATTAGAACAGGCTAATGTACTGTACTATGAAACATATTATTACTGGTTATATTACTGAGTGGGCTCTTTTGGATTATTTGGTAAAAATAATGCAAAGTACAGTCCAGACAATGATAATAAATTAAGTTATTTCTTCAATAGCATCTGCTACAGGATATGTTCAGTGGTAGGCCTAACTTGACAAACAATGTTTCAACAGAAATTATAAAACTAATGTATGCCTAACTCACAAATAAACTTACTTGCAGAATTTCCTCACTAATCAATTGATAACAAACACACTGACTAATTCACTGGCTAGCTTGCCAGTTGAATCACAGACGATGGGACTCTCCTTGTCTAATTCACAAACTGACACTGAATTAGATCACTCAACTCAGGAATTTACTACTTTTACAAACTGACATTGAACTAGATCACTCAACTCAAGAATTTACTACTCTCTCAAACTGACATTGAACTAGATCACTCAACTCAATAATTTACTACTCTCTCAAACTGACACTGAACTAGATCACTCAACTCAATACTTTACTGCTTAACTCAATCTGGAATCTTTATATCATTACTCATTCCAACTTACTACACAAAGCTTCTAAGTGTTGCATCATTATTATGTAATGACTAGCTCCCTCTAGCGAACAAAGATCTAAATTAAAATATTACAAATATAGCTTACAATATTTTGCTGTTTGCAGGATCTTTCATATCCATCATTAAAAGAAGAATATGGAAATTCGAAGCCATATAATGATAAAAAAAGCACTTTATTTCTTCACATTCTACAGGTTCCGTGTACTTATGTAATTAATGATAAATCCATCTTTACAAATAAACATCTAAACAGAAATTCCACTTACTTGCTAATTTAGTTTCTCTTGTACTTCATTGGATACACAAAATTTACAACACTGATTACTTTTTAACTGACTAACAGAGTCATTGTAATTTACTTATAGACTCAGTAATCATCTGCATTTCATATAGTGTAAACTGTTCTAAAACTTTTGGAAAAGTTCTAAACATTAAGCCACAAGCATATGACCTGGCATCAAACAATAATACAAACACGTAAATTAAAAACTTAGCCTACAACGCCATATGATGTTCACATGGGGCAATTAAAAATAAAACATTCTACAGCACTGCAGTTTTGAATTAATTATTTTAGATATTTCAAGCAAATAATGAGTAGTAATGATAGTAATATTTCTTTTAATTATTGATATTTCTCTAATTCTTCTTTCAGAACCAAAAAAAACTTTTGGAAATGGGTATCACTGGTCCAGAAGGACATTTATACAGTAGAACCGAGGAGGTGAGTTTTATTCTTCGTATAAACTGTTGGGTAATTTTTACACAGAATTTAAAAGAATACATTTCCCTTCACAACTGTACTTATACTTAAGTTAGAATACAGAGGATTCAGTATATTTATATAAAAATAATTTTTAACATACAATTCAGCAAGTCTTGTGATGACCACAGTCAATATAAAGTCATAATGGAACACATGTATCAGAACTACATTTTGACACTTTGTAGGTGGTGTGATGCCACTGAAAACTGATTGCCTTTTGGGAAGGTTATGTAAAAGCCTTTTCTGACACAAAATATTCATTCATTCACCCAGATTATAAAGATGTGTTCAGACCAGGAATGTAGAATTCGAAAGAAGGGGCTATTTCTTGTACTTAATCATTACATTGGAAAACAAAAGAATATGTATCAACTTGGGATGCCAGAACCATTTATAAAGAGACCTGCAATATTTCACACCCCAGCCATGATAAACAAGGTGTGGCAACAGATGAGGATCTGTGCACATAGGTCAGCAACAAAAGCCATCCATGTATCTCAGACAATGGGATTTAGCATAATCAAGAAGAATCTCCTTCTGGAAATAAGGCCAAAAGGTGTAATTTCTCCAAAATAAGACTGCCAGACATACCGCTAGTTCAACTGTTTCATTCCTAAAGCAGCTAGAGAATGAAATGAATATTCTTCCTATTACGTACGAAAATGTACCCATTAAGTAGCTAGATGCAGCAGGTATAGAGTGATTTATCTGTCATCACATTATTGAAATAAGTGTTGGGAAATCATCATTCTCATACATTAGTGGATTATGGAAAGCTTTCAGGGAGAAATGGTGTGCTTTGGACATAAGAGCCTTATCAAAAGCTCTTTGCAGTATAAACTATGTCAAGGCACACAGTCATCAGATAGAGCAAGACCAAACATGGCAATATAGATTGTAACAACATAGTAGGACTTAAAGTTTATTTCAATATATTATATTCAACCCTCTATATATATTTCCCTATAGAGATGCCTTCTTGGACATAGGTTCGAAGATACTTCTGTAAAGTACTCAACAAATTAAGTGAAACAAATTCACTTCAGATATATGATAACCAGTCTTTTTTGATCACCTCTCATCTTTCACTTTTCTAATATACAAGCAATTAATTCTTTTTTTCCTTTGTCTTTGTAAGCTGATGAAAATGCATTAGAAGAAAGTTACTATAATCTTCAAAATCAATTGTAAATTGATCAAAAGGAAAACTGGATATATTCCACATTTTGAATTATTTGTAGGTCGAGATCAACTTGAGTAATTTTATATATGCATTTCTTCCATATAACTAAGGACATTTTTGTGTTGATGTTATGTATGGCTCTAAATTAAATCATGTAGCTGGTGAATTCATATAACTGCTGTCTTGAAGCAACTGATTAATACATATTATGAAAGTAAATCTTCTAACAAATACTATTTCAAGTGAAAAAGCCAATAAGTGAAAAGAAACTTTTGGACTGGGGCTTGAACCCAGGATCTCTGACTAACAGGGCCAATGCTCTATATCCAACTCAGCTATCCACAAGTACAAGCCATCCCTGTCTTCCTTCACTCATAAGATTTTTTCGGTATGAGCATGAAATTTCTTACTACAGTATTGGCCTGATTATAAGGCAATGTTTTTTATTAATTATTAGGCTGTAAAATTCTTAGTCTCCTTATAATCGTGGCTGATTACATGCACCTTCCCCCTACTCTAGCCTGTTACATTCCTGGATGTCCAGATAGCATCCGTCAACACATGCGTGCCAGATGTTCGCTGAAGGTCATTGCTAGTTCTTGCAACTAATCCACCTGCCAGGCTGTTCTTTTATAGTATTGATTTTGTGGATCCAAAAGAAGATGCTATGACTCTAAATTTTTTTCTTTCTCATGGTTTCTGAAAATGGGGATCACCTTATATTCAAGATTGCCCTATAATCGGGCCAATACGGTACTCTGTCAGGCAATTAGCAGGTTGACTTATCACAATCTGAGAATTCTCCATTATATTTTTGAAGACTAAAGTTCAGAGCTCAAGTTTAGTTTCTGAAATTTCAAGGAAATCCAATTATTACAAAGTTCTCTGATTTTACAATTCCTCATGTCAACTTTGGTGTGTAAAATTTATTTTCAAGTCAGTACTGTTTTGATGTCAAAGTCACGCCTAGCATAATTAGGCTCTTTTTTAGATGTACATACTTAAATATATATATTACTTTAAAGCTATTTTTCAACCAAAAAAAAGCTGAAGTAAAATACGAGCTTTAATTTCTACAATGGACTTAAGAAGTTAAATTCTAAGTTTAAAAAAAAATCCTTTTTTTCATGAAGTTGTGTTAATCTAAAATTGGATATCACACACACACACCTCAAGAGTAATCATATATGTTATTGTATGGTGAAATATTATATTTTAAGTGAATTCCTTTAAAGTTTCATCCATGACTTAATTAAGGATTACACAAGTTATTAAGTAACTTATTTTTTGAACCCAGTCCCTCAACAGAGATTATTTCTTGTTAAATGGGATCAGTAAGTACACCCACATTTTAACATATGAAATACTTTGAGCACACACAATTTGTGGGCCCGGCAGGTGGTTAGGGCGCTCGACTCGCAATCTGCGGGTCGCGGGTTCAAATCCCCATCATACCAGATATGCTCGCCCTATCAGCCGTGGGGGCATTATAATGTGACGGTCAATCCCACTATTCGTTGGTAAAGGAGTAGCCCAAGAGTTGGCAGTGGGTGGTGATGACTAGCTGCCTTCCCTCTAGTCTTACACTGCTAAATTAGGGACGGCTAGTGCAGATAGCCCTCGTGTAGCTTTGCGCGAAATCCACAACAAACAAACAACACAATTTGTGGAATATCATAAAAATGTAATCCTGCTGAGTCATTTTAATATTTACAGAGTTTTTCTTTGCATAATAAAGTAAAATTTATGTTTGCTTTGGCACTAGTTACCAAGTTTTTCTTTCTTTTATCAGATTTGATTACATCGTTTTAACCTTCTGTTTTAATTTTCAGGTTGAGGCTGAGGCAACCAATAGAGCTATTGTCCTTGCAAATCAACTCAATTGTCCACTGTATGTTGTGAAGGTGATGAGCAAGAGTGCAGCAAAGGTTATTGCCAGAAAGAGGGAGGAAGGTAAGCCTTTTATGTAATAAAAAAACAACAAGAAATATTTTTTAATTCTTATCCTTGTTTTTATTCTTTCTCTGCCAGGTTAAAATATACAGCAAATAGGTATGAAATAGGTATTTGTAATAGATCATAATAATCAATAATAATTGGGTTTTAGATTTATTTTCAGGCTATTATAGTTTGTTCTGGTGCATCCAGGCCTAGATATTTCATTGATTTAGTTTCAGTCTGTTGTAGTTTGTTCTGATGCATCCAGGCTTGGTTGTTTCATTGATTTAGTTTCAGTTTGTTATAGTTTGTTCTGGTGCATCCAGGCTTGGTTGTTTTATTGATTTAGTTTCAGTCTGTTATAGTTTGTCCTGGTGCATCCAGACCTAGATATTTCATTGATTTAGTTTCAGTCTGTTGTAGTTTGTCCTAGTGCATCCAGACCTGGTTATAACTTTATCTTACACAGTATTGTAAATGGTGTTTAATATCCTTCATTTATGTGAGGAGAATAGAAAAATTAATAAACAGCAAAATATCTAAAAATCTTGTCCAGTCTTAGTTAAGAGTAAGTGTTATTATCGTGTGAAGAGAAAAATAAGTAACAGCTGTGTCTTATTTCAAAAATGGCTATTAACTGAAATGTGAAAATAGATGTGGTTTGAAAAATATATTTAATCTTCTATACGTACACGTTTCGAAGTTGTAAGTCTGATAAGTAACTTGTTAATTTTGCAAACGTATCATTTTGAGCAAACCAGAAATGCTTCCTTTGTCCTTAATATAGGTCCTTTACTTAAAAGTCTTATTTTAGTAAGAATATAATGTGTTTTCAAAGGATGTGTGGTGTTTGGGGAACCAATTGCTGCTGGACTGGGAACTGATGGAACTCACTACTTCAACAAGTGTTGGCGTCATGCCGCAGGGCACGTTCTCTCCCCACCACTACGACCCGACCCATCAACCCCTGGCTACTTGATGGATATGTTAGCTAGATGAGTATCTTTATTAAACTGAGAATTTACCTGTCTCACATATGTTTGTCTGTGATGCTCTCAAACATGTTATATTCATTCATATTGTTTATTAAGAACAGAGAGGCAGAACTAACAAGAAAAGGTAAAAGTATAAGTGATATTTAAATATCTTATCTCTACAGATCAATTTCATCACAGTTTCCTTTTTGATAAGATGTAAAAAACATTAATCCTAGCAACGAGCATTTTTGAGAATGTATTCCAGGTGGGAGGCAAGCCAACAACCCGCGAACATGAGAAGCATTATTGTTTTTGGTATTCTATGGTATTATAACTCTTAGTAGGTTGTCAAAATAAACCAGACAATGCTGAAAACGATGGCAATGGTCATCAGCAAACTTGGAAGTGAGAAAAAAAAAGATTGCAGTTTTTACTTGATGAGTGAAATGATAGCCATTGCCTTGAAGTTTGAATGCGATACTCTGGCTGATTATAGCTTATTTATGTACACTTATATTTAAATAGCATTATTTTCTATTAAATTTTTCAATGAATTATTCAAATAAATTTTTTATGAAATTCTGGGGGAGGAGCAAATACCCCACCCCATCTGATGGAGGCCCATGGTTCTAGCCCATATTTA